TATATATATGTGTTTCCACTTTTCATTGTAGTGAACGACCTACAAACCTATCCAGGACTTAACTTTTTGGTGTTTTGTTATTTAACAGGTAATCTGACCTGCATACCACAGGAGTCAGAGGTTTGGTGTCTCTTTAAACTTTTCCGTTTTGTTTATTTTTACTCTCAAGCATCCTAACTGCATCCAGATACAGACCTCCTCAAGGCAAATTTTAATAAAACTAACAAACAAAAGTCTATAATATGTTGATCATAGTAGCTCTCTAAAAAACTTAAAACAATAATACTTCAAAAAGTAAGCAATTTAAAAAATAATGCTAAAAAACAAGTTTAGAAAATGCAAACAAAGTTGTCGACAAGTACATTATTCTTTTTGATGTCTTCCCAGAGCAAAAAGAACAGTTTCTGTTTTTATCTTTTTTTGAAGATTGCTTCATATATCACAGTGTAATGCTATTTTAATTGCGTGTTATGACAAATGTAATTCATACAGTCAAAGTCACATCTCCATTCAGTCAGCCTTCGTTAGCCGAGATGTACTACGTTATTATCTTGCAGTTCGGTGGATAAGAAAAGACCGGCTCTTCGCTTCCACGATCCATCTGACTTTATTTCTGATGATGCAACCTCAAACCTCAGTTACTCTTCCCAGACAAATAAATTTTGTCAATCACAAAACAAGCAGCAAACCCCACATAAAGGTTTGTTTGACTCCAAAATGTTCGCAGTATCACCGCAGCGTTCAAATTAGTGCCGTATCAGATGAATCTCTCCATCTCACCAGAAAAGTCATGCACCGAGAAATGTTTCTGATTGTTTTCTCCGTGTGTTTATAACAACCAGGAGACAGAGCCAGTGCGCAGATATGTGTGGTGACACATTTGTCGCCATCCCAATGAAGGCCCTATAATCTTCCCAATCAGGAAAACCAGAACAAATTAGGTTATGCAGCGCTTCCAGTGAGCCATCACAATAAATCATCGTCATGGCCCAGAGCATGTATAAGTAAGCCATAAAACAACAGGGCCTGGGAGAATAATGTTTGTTCCCAAGATTGGTCCACAAGTATTGGGTGATATACTGTGAGAAGAGTCCCATTCACATATATTTCTCACACGCTTATTGTACGGTGCAGTGAAAGTATTTCCCAACGATAGGTTACAGGGTCGGCAGGGTTTGGGTTTGGCTCTCATTCTTTTTCATTACGGGCTTTGCTGGCTGTGAACAAGCACCAGGCAATAAAGTATGATTGTTTACTGTCACTGTGAGAATGAATGGAAAGACAGTGCATTAAAAAAAACATCAAAACAAAGGCCTTACAATCAAAGTCACGTAAACAACAAACACTACTGGGTGTTTCTGTACATGAAGTTGACAGAAAAAAAACAAGTGGTTTGCACTGAAGCCTCACAGAGAGGAGGTTTGGGGTTTGAACCTGATCGTTGGTTTGGGAGTTTTCATGCGCTCAGTACGTGTGGGTGCTCTGATTTCTTTACACTATCCAAAGACATGGATGTGAGGCAATGGGGTTCTAAACTGGCTGTAAATATGGCTGTAAATGCAGATGTGAATGGGCATCTGTCTGTCTGTTTTAGCCCTGGGTCACCTCATCTGGGTCCAGCCTACTCAAATAGTTAGATAGACAGTTAATGAATAACTGCCACTAGTTTTGTAAACGTTTAACTGGGAAACACCATATGTTCTCATTACAGTTCTAACACAAATTAACTGTTGATGGGGCGATCGTGGCTCAAGAGTTGGCAGTTCGTCTTGTAATTGGAAGGTTGCTGGTTCGAGCCCCAGCTCTGGCAGTTTCAGTCGTTGTGTCCTTGGGCAAGATACTTCACCCATTGCCTACTGGTGGTGGTCAGAGGGCCCGGTGGCGCCAGTGTCCGGCAGCCTCGCTTCTGTCAGTGCGCCCCAGGGCTGCTGTGGCTACAATGTAGCTGCCATCACCTGTGTGTGAATGTGTGGATGACTGAATGTAATGTAAAGCACTTTGGGGTCCATAGGGACTAAGTAAAGCACTATACAAATACAGGCCATTTTAGCATTTACCATCAGTCTGTGTGCTTCACTCCCAAGTCCCAAATATCAACCTGATGGTGACACTGGAGGAAAAATGAGTCATTACAAGAATTCATCATGAATTTCTGTACAGGACCGTTTTTGGGACCAGCGGAAAAGGTGATGATTAGGATTCATAGTCTGTGGACCATGAATCTATTCACATTTTTTGTTTAACACTGTAGGTGACTTTATGTAGGCTTGGATACGTGGTAATCCACCCGACAGACATTTCAGTCAGAGTAGAGGACCAATGAACAAAACCCAACTTGACAGAAATAGATTCGGTTGATGCTACAGCATGGTCAAATATGAAGCAGATCTGTGGCACTTAAGGCAAATTAGCAATAAAAAAAATAGAAGAACATTTTTCGAGTAGTTTTAAACAAAGCTGCATATGTGAGTCACTCTTCAAGGGAGAAAAAATGACTAATATCATAAGCTTCTGATTTTAATGATGGCAATGCTAAGTACATTTTATTAAGCCTCCCAACAAAAACAAAAGGAAGTTTTATTTTTCGTTTAATTGGTGCTGTTTTCAATCATTTGTTCCTTTCAAATATTTTGAAAAAATAAAAATGATAACTTTGATATAAAGATTAATACCAGAGAGCAGAAGATAAAAAAAAAAAAAAGAAGAGGAAGAAGAGGAAAGGAGAAAGCGAGCAAGACGGTGAGGAAGAAAGGGAAGACAAATGGTGAGAGGAAAGAGAGAAGCAGTGAGGACCAGTCATACAGTCTATGGTTCAGCTCCAGTTGGATATCAAATCTGTGTTCTCAGTCTGTGAGTCAAGTAAAAACCATCAAAGCTTGAGGTTTGGGGACTGGAGGCTCGGTTCAATCTCCAACCATTTCCCACAACCTTTCAAGGGCTGCCAAACATTTATTTGTTTTGGATTAATGTAATTAACCCCCCCACCCCCCTTTCCTGGTGTCACACAGAAGAAGCGAGTCACAGTGAAAAGATTACAAGTCCTCTGCTTCTCATACAAGCAGCCCGGCCGTCCCAGCACAGTGGCTCGGAGATTTCATATCAGCAGGATTATATTTTTGCTTTAGCTTGACATGTAAATCGCCCACTGACAGTTCTCACGAACACATCAGCAAACACTTTACAGCCGTGCAGTAAAAAAAGACATACTGCAGGGAAGAATACATGTGTGATGTGTCTGTGTGTCCTTTCAGCCAACCTAGAGTCTCTTTGTGCACGGCCACACAAACTGTTGCTTTGTCTCTGATAGATACGTGAATTTTTTATTTATTTTTTATTGTTATATTTGGAAACTTTACAGCTCACAGGGGTCTAAAACATTTCAGCTGCTTTCTCAAATGTCTCAAAATGCCAGCTTTAACATTAGGTAGTTATTTATTGCCACATTTAAATTCAAAAAGCTGTGACATTGTATGTGAGGTCAACTTATCTCTTTCAGGATTTCATGTGAAGACAGGCAAGCGTGTATTGCATCAGTCCGACATGCAGCGTGGAGTCATGTAAAAATAGCACATCTAAAAACGGAAGAAACCCCTGCTAAGGTTTCTCATTGTTTCTAATGCAAAGTCTGAACTCATTCAGTCTTATTTAAAGGTCTTCAGTTTGTATATAAAACTTACTCAGTCAATAAAACTTCATTCAGAGTAAAAACCAGGTTTTAGCAAACCAGGAATCGTAACTCTTTTGGCGTCAATAATTTTTCATGTGACAGTCGCTGTTAAAATTATGTGTAAGAGTATGTAGTGTATTAGTGTTTGAGCCATAGTAAAATGTCCCATAAATCCAGAGGCTTTTCTGTTTCATACACTGAATCTCCCTTCGTGGGCAGATGACGCATAAAAATGAAAAAAATCTGAAACCATTGTGAAAATTCGGGGATCAAACCCAGATGGGACCAAATCATTTTTCAAAGTCTGGCACGGTGAATAATACGCTTTCTGATTTTGAATGTTAGAATAATGAGAGGCTTTTCTTCAGGCTGAGGGATGCATGTTGTAGTTTTGCCATTTCAACAACTGCTCAAACAAGAAAACAAAATGCAGTCTTGTTAGAAATTATGATGTAAACACCTGAAAAGAATCTTTGGGGGAATAAATATTTTTTGATCTCTCCAGTTCCAATGTTTTCCTTCAATGTTAAATACTTTTGAGGACCCTGAAAAGAAATGATTCATTTTATCAGCTGTATACAGTTATATACTGAAAATATAAAACCATAACTCCTGTTTAAGATGCAAAGATGTGCCTTTGCTCTGTTCTGTAATGCTGTGATCGATCTCTCGTACCTTGCCAGGGTCTTCATTCACATTAATTTCCATTATATTCCTCAAGAGGTCAGCCTAACTCCCTGCGCCAGCAGCAGCAGCAGCAGCTGGCAGCGTGACCAGCACTGAATATCAGCACAGAGGTAATTTTTTAAAAGCTGGAGAAACCTGAAAGTCACACAGATCAAAATCTCAGTGTACATGTTGAAGTGAGGTGAGAGAAAGAAAGATATTTAGGATTAATATACCAGTTCTTACTTTATAATATATTAACTGGTCCATTCAATTAACTGCAGAGGCAGATGAACTGTAATCCATATATGAGTTTATCTTGAAAGAGAACAGACTAAAATAAATAAATGTAGAAGAAACCAGCTTTCACAGGCTGTGCTCAGCTCGTGTCCTGATGATAAACTTACAATGCATAAACTCACAGTTGGGTATTTCCCCTATTAGAGATTGGAGTTTCTCTTTATTATTCTTTTAATCACACAACTGTTCATTTCTTGGAGCTGGTTTGTTGAGCTGGCTGGTATTTGTTTGTTAGTAAATTGTTACATTTCCTGATACTTTTAATACCACAGTTTGGTCCTGAGCAAAAGGAAATACTAAAAGTTAACAGGCTGTCCACACAAACTACACGTGTGTCTGGATGCATTTACAGGCAGGTGAGCAGAAGGAGCACACAATCCACCACGAGTGAAACGAAGAAACATGCACTCATACGTACTCGCGCTGATCTTGGTCCAGCATCTCCTTTGATCTAACTTGACTTCTCAGAATGATTGTTCTCAGCAGCAACACTGATGTCCTGCTTTGTCGTTGAGAACATTGGTCACTGCAGGTCATTTATAAATGTATTCTCTATATATGGTGCTGATTTTAGTTTCCACTGACTTGCCACATCATTTTCACATGGGTTATATATATATATATATATCTCTATATAGATATAT